ACAAAATGTGGAACCAGTCCTGTACTGGAGTAAAACACAAAGTATAACCACCACATTCTATTTTCACTTAGGTCTGCAGTACAGCTCAGTGGTAGAGCATGTGTTTAGCATGTACAATTCCCTGGGTTCAATCCCCAGCACCAAAAAGGTAAATATATAAAAATAGAATTCACTAAACTTTGGGGCTGGGGATATAGCTCAACGGCATAAGCGCCTGCCTGGCAAGCACAAGGTCATGAGTTCAATCCCTGGTTTTGCAAAAAAAAAAAATTCACTAAACTTCTATTTCTTTTCCCTCTTCAATCTGGAGTGGCGGGGAGTAGAGAAGGTCTCTTTACCTAAAGTCAGTCCATAGCAGGAGGTAATTTTGTTTGAAAGATTCCATTCACACCTGTCCAAAGTCTGGGTCACCTTCCCCTAGACCCTGTGCTATGCCTCAGACAGTATACTTCTTGCATTTCCAAATCAAAAGAGAAAGAAAATCCTAAGGCAACAGAATATAAGCCAAGTAATTTCTGACCAAAGGAAATTTTCAGGAAAAGGTTCCTGAACTTTCCTAGGATCTGACCTGATAAGATGATCCCATAATGAATAAATGATGTAAAATGTTCCTCCTAATTTTTAAATGTATAGTTTATTTATATACTGCATGAATGGCTAATAAAATGCTTACATTTCATATTCACACTATTTCACCTGGGTGCATGGAAGTCTCTACAAGTGAAAAAGGTAAATCCTGATAACAAAGAGATAAAGAAAAGGGCATGTATTTTGCTTCTCCATTCTCACACTTTTGACACCAGATGTGTAGGGGCTTTCTCCCCATACACCAAGCGATTCACAGATTCCCCATCATGCACAAGTCAGTGTCTGCTCATTCAGTTCAGCTCTGACACGAACATCTGGAGATAGCGTCAGATGGCACAGGATGAGGGGTGCATCCCCTAAGACCTCAGATACCCATTTCAGAAGCCAACCACAAGCCCCCAGTGGGGGTCAGTGCTTCTTACAGACTCTAAAAGCAAGGCTCCCTTGACTCCCTCCTCAGGCTTAATTCATTTGCTAAGTGCAGCTTACAGAACTTAGGGAGATATTTCAATTTACTGATTTATTATAAAGAAGATGACAAAGGACAGACAGACAGCCCAATGGGAGAAAGGTGCGGGGCCAGCAATGAGAAAGGGGGCACTCAGTTTCCATGCCCTCTCTGGGAGACCACACTCCAGGAACTTCCACATATTTTGCTATGCAAAAACCACCAGAACCCAGGCCTTTTGGGTTTTTATGGGAAGTTTCACTTTGTGGGTATGACTGGTTACACCCACGGCCATTAGTGATCAGCCTGACCTTCAGCTCCTCCCTCAGGGCTGAGGGTGGAAGTCCCAACCCTTCAAGCATGCCTTGGTCTTCCTGGTAACCAGCTCACATCCAAGGACCACAGCCACCAATTATCACACTGTCATGCAGAAGACAGACACTCAACCCTCCAGACAGTCCATGCATTTTTGGAGCTGTGTGACAGGAGACAGATAAAGACCAAATAGATATTCCATAATATTACACAAGACAAAATTAAAATTCCCATTTCAGGCCCTAATACTGCTATGTGATAGTAAACTGACTTCTTAGGTGGTTAAAAAAACATAAGAAATCACCAGAAAGTAACACTTTCTATAAAGAAATCTAAATTTTGGGTAAGCATCAAAAATCTAAAAATATAACCACTTAGATTTAAGGTGTCTATAAATTCCTTGTCTCCTCTAGACTCCCTTGGCTTATGCCTATTATCCCAGTATAATTACTAAGTATACCCAGTTCTCTCAAAAATGGCATAGGTTAGCCAGGTGAGGTAGTGAACACCTGTTATCCCAGCACTCGGAAGCCTGAGGCAGGGGGATTGCCATGAGTTTGAGGCCAGCCTGAGCTAAATAAGCAAGTTCAAGGCCAGCATGAACTATATACTGAGACTTTGCCTCAAAACAAACAAAAAAAAATTGTAAGGTTGTACAATAAGTTATATACCACCCTATTTGAAGATGAAAAGATTTCTAAATATTCTTTGACAAAAACGAAGGCTTTTCGGAAACACTGGTTTGTACAGAGATATTTGGCTTAGTTTGCCTTTAAACCCCAAGTGTGAAAGAGTTAATAAGCACTTTAACTTTCACAGCTGCTAAGTAATGGACTCATCAACCCTGAGTATTTATGAAACCCCTTCAGACCCAAATGTGGAGCTTGGTCTGGCAACCTGTATTTGGGGACTTTGCTCTCCACCTCTACCCCCTAATCTAGGGATCCAGAAGAGAAGCACAGTGATTCAGCATTTCTAAGGCATTTGCTACAATCTGCTTCAGTGCAATGGAATCAGAGGAAGAAAAAAAAGACCCATAGGACACAGACATAAAAATCAAAACATCTTTTTATAAAAGCAAAAATGATGAAATTTACACTTTCTTTCTCCATGAAACATATGTAAAGCCTACAAGGGTTTCTCTCCTTGCTCTTATGAAGCAAGGCATCCTAAGCTATAACAGAAAAGCTACAACAGAAAGCACCTGAAACAATTCTTGTCAACTAACTCTAGAGATGCTTAAAAACAGAAATAAAAGAGCAATCCCAGAACACAAGCGGAAACTTAATGGCAGGCAGTAAAAAAGAATGACACTGTTAAAACCTGTAAGAGAACATGTTTTCAAATCTTGCTTATGTCACCTATGTGTCTCCTGGATAGCAGATCATGCCTTTCTCATTCTT